CCCCCCCCGAGCTTAGCCCTTTCTCCCAACCACCCCGTGGGTGGCGATGGTCAAGCGTGGCAAGTGCGACTTCGCCACCAAGGTCCGCAACATGCGGGACTCCAAGGCCTCGGGAGTCATTGTCGGAAACCACGACGACAGCCTCTTTACCATGAGCGCCGAGGGTGACACCAGCGACATCAACATCCCTGCCACCCTGGTCATGGCCTCCTCCTACAACATGCTGCTGATCTCCGGCACGCCGGACGGCTCGCCCATCGCCTTCCACACCGACGTCCTTCTCACATCTGATGTGTACTTGACGCTGCCGCTGATGAACGTCCTAGTTCTGACGCTCTTTGCGCCGGCACTCGTGGTTCTCTTCCTCTATGTTCTGTACCGGATGCGCTCGCGCCAGCAGAAGAAGAAGGAGGTGGCCCCGGTTGCCGTGATCAACAAGTTGCCGGTGCAAATTTATTCCTCCGCCGAGGCGGACAGCGCCGAGCCGACCCCCTGCTCCATCTGTCTGGATGACTTTGTCGACGGCGACCAGCTTCGCGTGCTTCCCTGCAAGCACATCTTCCACATCGACTGCGTGGACCCGTGGCTCACCACCCGCAAGCGCCTTTGTCCTCTGTGCAAGGCTGACTGCACTGACGAGGTATCCATCACCGGTGGCCCTGGCGGGGAGTCCCAAGCCGGTGGCTTTTACGGCTCCACCGGGGACGGTTACTCCTCGGCCAATGCCTTTGGTGAGATTGACCCCGAGAGCGCGGCCGGCGGTACCGGCAGCTCGATCAACTACCATTACACCACCGGCGACTACTCGCCGGACCCAGTTCAGGGTGCGTTGTTTGCTGCTGCTGCTGTTGCTGCCGCTGCTGTTGCTGCTCTCTCTCTCTCTCTCTCTCTCTTCTCCCCCTTGTCGCCCGTATCTTTGATTGCCCATACACCCCTATGCCTGGCCTGTGCTTGCCCATGGTGGCCTGCCGTTGCGCCTCTCTCCTTTCTCCTGTCACATCAACTTACACGTTGGCCTTTTCGGTACACTCCCCCCCCTCCCTTCCCCTCGCCTTTGGTCTCTTCCTCCCTCTCTCTCTCTCTCTATGTCCCTCCATTCCAGTGTACCCTGAGAGCGTGTCCGAGTCCGAGTCTGAGAGCAACCCTCTCATCACGCAGGAGGCCTCTCTCTGAGTGTTGGCTGCCCCTCTCCCCCTTTTTTTACCACTGTTGCCTCGCTAGAGATTCGTGCTTCGGCATATGCGTGTGCGCACGTGCTTCTTCACTATCCCATGTCTCTGGAGAAGGAAGGACAACACGTGTGTGGCATGCCGGCCGAAAGGCAGCTCCACCGCGCTCCTCTCCACTCTTTCTTGTCCTTGTTCCACAACACACATACCCCGTGCTTTGTTTTCTTCTCTTCTCTTTGCTTCTCTTCGCCCTCCCTCGCGCGGGCTTTCCCTCTCCCTTCCCCAAGCCCACCTATTTTCGAAGCGCCAGGAACTCCGGGGGAGGGGAGGGGAGGGGGGGGGGGGGGGGACAGGGGAGACACACCCACCCCCACCCGCCCCCACCCCTGCAGCGCTGGTCCCCTCCCGATCCTCTCTTCCCCAGCATGTATGCGTTTATGCGGGGGGAGCATCTTACTTCCGGCCTTCCTTCCTCTCGAAATGCATTCCTTCTTTCCCCCCCCCCCCCTGTCACAGCGAGCAGGTACATATGCATGTCTGCGCAGGCGTGTGTCTGAATTCGTTCTCTGTTCAACGTTCATCTATATTGGGCGAGATAAAACTCTTCTAAGTGCGATGGGGCAGAGCCAGGGGAGGGGGCGGGGGGAATCTGCATGAATATGCCCACGCAAGGCATTCCCAGGGTCAAGCAAGAAGCAGGGGTGCACAGGCAGGAAAAGGCCCGCCCTCTCCTGATCTGACGAGCTCTCCCTGCCCTGCTCGGCTCAGGGGAGCATGATGTATGGCGAGGTATCGGCCAGGCACACCTCGAGCACAGCATCCACAGCGCGCTCCGCGTGGTCCCGCAGATCAGGCTGAGGAGCGGCACCATTGTCAGGCGAGCTGTTGGCAGTAGCAGCAGCAGCAGCAGCAGCAGCGGCGGCGGCCGCCGTCCGGGCATCCTCGCTGGCCTCGAAGGCGGCCACAGCACCGGCCGTCGGCATGCTCAGGGGGATGGCGTCACCGGTGCTGGCTGCAGCCGCGTCGGCAGCCGCAAGACGAGCAGCCACCGTCGACTCGAAATCCCCTCCCACACAGGCAGGATTGGCGCGGACACTGAGCACCGCTCGCCGGCGAACACACTCTTTGAACTTGCCGGCGAAGCCGCTGAAGAGATTCCCCCGAGCAAGCTCGTTGCCAAAGCGACAATCCCCACTGAGGGCCGCCGCGCGGACTTCCGAGCACGCATGCGACTTGCAGTCAGTCCAGTCCATTTGCGCCCGGCAGTGGTCATACGCATGCACCAGCTGGTGATTCATGGCTTCACGGAAGTGTTCGGCCTTGCGAAGATTGTTTTGGCACAGCAAAATGCCCACTGCGGTGCGGTGCGGTGCGGTGCGGTGCGGTGCGGTGCGCCCGGCAATGCACACATTGGCATGTGTGTTAGTGGAAATGTGGGCGAAAGGCATCGCCAAGAGGAAAGGATGGGCATGGGAAACGCACTGGCCGGGTCGAAGCCGGCGGCGATCTCCGGCGGGCAACGCTGGCAGATGAAGTGCTCAATGCCCAGGGCGCAGCCCTTGTCCTGGAAGGAGGGAAGCCGTAGAGAGGCGGGGAGCCTGTTAGCGCAGGGCCAAAACCCATCGTCTGGCGGCAAAGCCATGCATGGACCACATGCGGGAAAGCACTCGCGGGCGCGTACCGCGATAGAGTGCAGCAAAAACTTCGAATGCGAGCTGTTGGCAAGGAAGCGAACACGCGAGAGGCACGTCTCGTAGTCCTTCTTGTCTTGGCCGGTGTAGGAGTCCTGGGGCTTCCCCTGCGGCGGGGTGTCGGCCTCGGTGCCGGGCTCCCGTCGCGGCGGGCCGCCGAAGATGGGCACGCGCTCATCACGATTAAGAGGCGTCCCGGCGATGAAGCCAGACCAGCGATCTTCAGGCGGTCCAGACATGATGAGATGGAACTAAAAAAGCAGAAAGAACGGAAGGGAGGGGGAAAGAGGGAGAGGGAGAGAGGTAGTGAGGGGGGCAGGGGGGAGGGGTGGGAGGGGGGGGGGAGGGAGGAGGACCGTGCGGCGACGGGAGGTGGTCGGGGATCTCCCGGTCCCCCGCCTCCCGGGGGGCCAAAAAGGGAATCCCTTCCTCGGGTGCCTTGGGGCGTGGTCGCGGGCAATGTGGCCCGGCCGCCCCCGGCGAAGAGGTGGCACTTGCCCCACCAAGTGCCAACGCCACGGGACTGCTTCATAGGCCACGGAAAGTGAGCAACACGAGCCCCCCCCCCCCCTTCCGCCGCCGGGCCTGGGGCACAACAGGGGCGATCTGGCGTCGATCTCACGAACCAGGCCGCCCCTCGCCTCCTCTGTGGCCGTGGACCCGCCCTGCGCCCGGGAAGGAGGCCACCGTCGGAGGGCGAGAGTCTCCGGCATGCTGGGCGCCAGAGGAGCACCCCACAGGACCATCGTTTTTTAATATAGATTTTTTGTGGAGGGCACCTTTCGGCACGCATACACACCCACACATACACACGGCGTACGCGCATACACACCCACACATACATACACACTCCGATCCCCGAGCCCTCCTGTTTCCCGGCTGTCAGCCATCCTCTCCCTTCCTTTTCCACCGACACCATGCTCCGCGCCCCGATTGGCCTGGCACCGCGTACGCTGGGCCTTGCTCTGTCCTCGGCCACCCGTCGATCCGTCTCTTCGAGCGTGGCCGTGAGTGCCCACAATCGGGAGGCCTTGGCCCCGGTGGAGGTCGACGGCCTGGCCATGTTCGATGTTGGAGCCGCCCTGCTTGCTGAGGGATGCCACCCGGGGGCCTTCCTGCGCGGGGGCGCTCTGGTGCGGGCCACCTTGCCTGCCATCCGGGACCTCTTCCTGTCAAACACGCCGGATGCCACCGGCAGGCGGTCCCCCAGTCCGCCACTGGTGGCCGATGGCCGGTGGCTGGAGGATCACTTCGGCCCGACGCGCGCCCTCGGGGCTCTTCCGGCCGGTTCCACGGCCGGGGGCGGGATCAGCGGCCTCGTCGGCTGGGATGTCGCCCTGGATGGCCTTCTGGCAGCCGGGGAGCTGCTCCGCCTGCAGCAGGCCTCCTACTCTCGGTCGCACTTTGACTCGGTGATCCATCACTATCGCGAAACGATTGTCCGGGCACTCGGTCGGCGCTTGGACCGGGGTGACGCCGATGTGGCCCCCGGGCCGGATGTATCGCAGCGCGATCGTCAGCTTGAGGCACTGGCGCGCATCGAACGGATCATGCACCAGACCATTGTCCGGTCTTTCGCTCCCGGGGACAGCCTGGCCCACATGGCGGAAGGCAACTTCCTGCCGCTTCACACCTTGGACCTCCGGGCCGATGGGCACATCCAGCCCCATGTGGACAATCTCTCGGCCTCCGGGCGCCTGGTGGCCGGGGTGTCGCTGTTGTCCGGGCGCGTGGTGCGCTTCGAGCAGATGTACACCGATGCCCGGCCGCGCGAGAGCGTGAAGCCCTCCGAGCGTCGGGTGCTGGATGTCCTCCTCCCGCCGGGGTCCTTCTACATGCAGCGGTACGACCGCCCTCTTCCTCTCCCGGCCCCCTTCCCTTCGCTTCTCCCAGCTGCCGGGTCATCCTCCTCCATGGCCCTTCTCCCTCCTGCCAGTGCTTGGACTTTCCCTTTGGCTTTCCTTGCTCACACGCATGCGTGCACGAACATGCGCAAACACACACACGCACACGCACACACACACAACCCCATCAAACAGCGACAAACTTCGTTACGACTATACCCACGCCATCTTGCCTGTCACCCCGGGCCAGGAGACGGTCTGGCCCGAGGGCGCCGGCCAGCGGGTAGTTCCCCTGGAGCCGGCTCGGCGGATTGTCTTCCTCGTGCGCGATCGGCTGAACGCCACCGGGCCCGGACCCGGTGTCGGGGCCGGGGGGAAGGTCTTGGAAGGGACGTACTAGTGTGCACTTGGCCGCTTTTTTTTTGCCCGCATCTCTTCTGCTTCTTCACAGAAAGTGTGCATATGTAAGCAGCCACACCCACCCACAGGCACACATAAAAGCACGCCCACCCACACGCACACACGCATGTCCACGCGGGGCCTTGTCAAATGGACACACGCCGGGCCTTGAATGACAATCATATTCCTGGCCTCAAGGCGTATTTCCGTGGAGGGGGAGGGGGAGGGGGGCGGGGAGGTGTCCCGACATACACGGAGCACGGGAAGGGGGGGGGGATTCAGCTTGAAAGATCGGCCTCGAGGTCGGCCAACATGGAGAAAATGCCACCCGACGAGGCGGCCGAGTCCGGCATGCGCGCTGCCTGTCCAGCAGCCGGCGCGCACTCCACTTCGGTCGGGTACGCATGGACATAGTCCACCTGGGCGACCGGCAGCTCAGGGGCGGACCATGCTGTCGGAAAGGGTGCCGAATGCATTTGGGCGTGGCCACCGGGGGATGAGGGTGAGTGAGGGCAGGGAAAGTGGGACATGGGCGAAAGTCGAAGAGCCCACACGGCGGAGGCATGCATGCAAGTGCGCACTCTCGCTGCCAGCCTTCTGGGTAGACAGGAACAGCATGGCGCCAGGCCAGGCATGCGCTGGAAGCATGGTGGCTCCGGGGATGTCGACCAGCTGGGACAGGAGGCTGGTTTCCTCGGCTCGCAGGGCGAAAAACAGGCCGTCCTCCGTGCGAACCAGCGAATCGCCACCAGCAGCCGGGGTCCCACTGAGCGAGGGGATCGAGGAGGCCGGCAGGCCAAGGGCCTCCAGACGCTCGGCAAATCCCGGGGCCGCAGCCAGGAGGATCAGAAGGCGCATCGGCGCTTCGATCGGGGGGGCCTCCGCACGGGCTACTTGCTGGAGGAGACCCAGCACGGCGGGGCTCCGGTCGAGCAGGGCCCCGGTCGAGGAAGTGTGCTGGGGCGCCGCCGAGGTTGGGGTCGAGGCGTCCGAGGAGGCAGCCGCGCCCACCCGGGGCGGCCATTCAGGTGCCTCGGATGTCGGGCGCAAGGGGACCGGCTGGAAGCGAATGCCTCCGGCGGAAATGATCAGCACAAAGGACCACTCTTCTTCGATCGATGCGCCGGGGGTCGCGCCCAGTGGGGGGGTGGTGCTGCCGGCGCCGCTTGACATGGCCGGCGTTCAGAGGCAGCGCGTGGCGAGGACCCGACGAACGTGGGCTTTTATCAAGCAATGGTATCGTCTGCAGCTGGGAAGGATGAGCCTGCCGCTGGCGCGCCTGTGTACCGGAGGGACGCCGCAAGGGGGGTCAGGCAGGCGGGCGGCTAGATATGGGGGGCGAGGACAAAAAGGCAGGGGGCGGGGGCGGGGGCGGGGGGTGGAGGGGCGAGACAAGGGACAGTGTGAGGGAAGAAGTGGCTTTGGACAGCCAGGACACACAACCGCCAACCCCCATTTTTTCTGCCCCCCCCCCCCCCCCCCCCCGCCCCCCTTTCTGCTGCCAATCAACTTGGGCAGGCGAGCGCGATCGGAGACGACAATGAAAAGTGTCCGATCGGGAGTGGATCACGCCATGAAGAGATCACGCGCGGGACGCGCGCATGCCACTATTAACCGAGTCCCCACAGCATGCCACTATTTTATATCCCGCACTTTGGCTCGGTTTGAGTTGAGGGTTGACGAAGGGGGCGGGGCGGTCGAGATATTAGACAAAAAGCCGTTCGAGGTCCCTCGACAAGCGGGCGCACCCGAACCCTCGGTCGAGTCCATTGGCCGGTGCGCCCCAACCCACTTCCCCCCCCCCTGTCGGTGCCTGTCAGGTCAAGGAAAGGCTCCTTGGGGGCTGGGGGAGGGGGGGGCGGCCTGTGGGGAGGGGGCCCGGCGAGAAGGACAGCGGGCTTTTCCAGGCTCGAAGTCCAGGGCGGGGGCGCGGGCGGGCAGGCTGGTTCCGGATGTTGCGGGTATAAAAGGGGGTCTGGATGACGGCGACTCCGGATGTCCTCGTTACGCCGCACCTGACGAGATGTATGTTTTTTTTCTCTGTCCCTCCCTTCGCCTCCCCTCCCCCCTTTTCCCTTGCTACCTCGAGTGTGCGCGTGTGTTCGACTGGACAAGAAGATGTCTTCATCAGACTTGCCTGAATGTGCCTGTGTTATAAGGCCCAGCTGTTGAAACAAAACGGTTACTCACTGATTGTTTCAGTTTGAGCCACCGCCCTCCCTCTCCCCCCTTGCTCTTCGCCCGCCCTTCTTCCCCCCCTTCCTCTTACTTACATTCCTCCCCTGCTCCCTTCTAGCCCGTCTCATCGGTGCCATGCGTCCGCCTCTTGAGGAGCGGCGCCCGGGCGGGCGGGAGGACGGTGTGTGTGTTGGCTCTCTTCGGAGCTCGCACGCGCGCCGCCTTTCCTCCCACGCCAGGCCCTCCTCCTCCCCCGCGTGCGCGCGCCCCTCCTTCGGGAGGGGCACCCGCGCGCGGGGAATTCTCCGTGTGCGCCCCATTTGTGCGGCCGCGCTCACGCGTATGTGCATGGACCCCATGTATTCACGAAAAAGAAGGAACCCATCAAGAAGAGCATCGCGCCAGGACGGAGGAAGCCCTCTGCGGAGGCCGCCCTCCCTCCTGGCGGCGCCAGCCATATCATACCCACAACCAAAATAGACAGCGCCGCACACATAGTTAGCCCCCCCCCCCGATGTCATTTGTTTGTGCACTTCCCCCTCTCAGACTGTCCCCTGCCGCGGCGGCCTCTCCGCGCCCCCCCCCCTCCTCTTCCCTGTTCTGCCATGCCTTTCGCCGTGGCCAGTTGGTTGTGTGTGTCTTGTCATCGGTGTCCGCGCCGCCTCCCCCCCCCCTCCACACAGCCATCCACCTGCCTTCGCGGGCGGGGGCACCATTTTTGAGCCGGCACTCTCCCTTCCTGTTGTCCTATTTTTTGGCCACCGCACGGGCCCCCCTCTCCCCCCCGCCACGTCCGGCTTTCACACATTCTCTCTGTCCATCATCCTCCCTTTTCGAGGGGGGCATGCATTGTTGACGATTCTGCATTTTTGTCACACGGAGGAGAGCGGAGAAATGTGCACCGCCGCGCGCTTTCTCTCCCCCTGTCATATGTGCGTCGTTCCCCACGGAGGGAAGGTGTATTTGTGGGCGGGAGGAGAGACAAAGAGACAGGACACCTGCGCGCACTAGTTGCCGGCGGCGGCCTTGGCCGCGGCAACACGGCGCTGACGAGCCAGGTCCTTGTTCCGGAAGACATACTTGTCCGAGGTCTGACGGGCGTTGTTGTCGCGGAAGTTCATGCCCAGGCGCTGGATGAACTTGTTGTTCTCCAGGGCCTTGATCATGGAGCGCTCTGCGGGGCAGAAGCGCCGGCCAGCGCAGAGATGCGTCGACGAGAGGACAGAGGCAGAGGGAGACAGAGCGGTCAGGAAAGGGAGGCCCAAAAGAATGCAGGAAAAGAGGAAGGAAACATCCCCCCCCCCCCCCCCGATGGCCACCCTTCGCGCCCCTGGGGGCGACCTGGGGAAGAAGAGACGCACCCGCCCGCTGAGAGCTCGGAATGCGCTGGTTGACCAGGCGCAGCTCGGTGAGGCTCTCATTGACGGCCAGCATGGCCGCGATGTGCTCCAGCCCCTCAGGACCGATGGCATTGGTCTCCAAGTTGAGAACCTCGGCATGCTTGTTCAGGGCCAGACCCTCGGCCAGAGGCTTGACCATGGAGCAGCGCAGGTTGACATTGCACAGGGAAATGGTCTTCACGCGGGTGTTGGTGGCCAGCGCGGCGCCCAGACGGTCCATGACAGCCTGGTCAATGTGCCTGTACAAAAAGAGAGGGAGAGAGGGGGGGGGGGGGAGGGAGTCAGTAAAGAGCACAGCACCATTGTGGGTGCTACACGAGGAGCGCCGGGGCCAAAGCAACAAGCAGGACGCACTCGGCGTGGTTCATGTTCAGATCGCGGATGTCCGGCGAGTCCTGCTCCACCAGGGTGACAATGCGATCGATCTCAGCACGCGCAGCCGTGGTGGCCTCATCGGCGGCCGCCTGGGCCTCGGCCAGCTTCGGGCTGCCGGCGGAGGCCGACGACCCGGCAGTAGCAGCAGCAGCAGCAGCAGCACGATCGACCGACGCATTGCGCACACCGTGCATCATGGCGGCCTCCTCCGCGGTGAGATTCATCTTGGGGGCCTTGGTCACGGACGGCGGCTCGTAGAGGCCCAGGTCGTCCATCAGTTCGGCCAGCTGCTCCTCCGTCAGCTCCACATCGCCAAGCTCCGGGTCGGAGAAAATCAGGGTCTTGGCATCGGCCGGGCTGGAGGGGTGGCTGTCAGCCTCCTCGGCCGAGGTATCAGCAGAGGCCGAGGCGGCGGGCTGCTCGGCGACAGCGGCCTCCTCCTCGGCATCGGTGGCGGCAACGGCCGCCGCCTCCTCCTGGGCAACGGGCGAGGCGGCGGCCGACGCCTCGGACTCGGGCTCCTGCTGCTGCACGGGAGACGCAGCCTCGGGCTGGAGGTCCGGCGACGCGGCGGCCACCGGGGTCTTCTCGGCCTCCGGCTCCACGTCGATGGACACGGCCGGCTTGTCCTCCTCCACGACCGGCTCATCGCCAATGAGGGCGGCCGTGGTCTCGGCCAGACGCGCGCGGCGCTGGTTCCGGGCCAGCACACGAGCGGCCAGCCGGGCCTCCTCGGAATCGTCCTCGGCATCGGCCACCGGCTGGAAGATCTCAATGGTGACACCGGCCGGGGTGGTGGGCTCCTCGACGGCCGGGGCCACCGCAGCGGCAGGAGTCGGCTCCGGCTCCGGCTCCGGCTCCTTGGTGGCAGCCGGCGCGGCATCGGCGACGACCGGCTTCTCGGTGGCCGGCTCGGCGGCAGCCACCGGCGCCGGGGTGTCCTCCGGGGCAGGGGCCGCCACGGTGGCAGCGCCACCACCACCACCGAGGACCTCCTCGTCCAGGTCCTGCGCCGGGGCCGGCTTGGTGGAGTTCTCCACCGCCTCATCAAGTGAGTCCTTGGACACGGTCAGCGGGTCATCGATGTCCATCTCCGCGTGGAAGAACTACAGGGCACCGGGATTTGCACGGGTTAGCATGTGGGCATGTGGGCATGTGCGTGTGCCAGCATGGGCGCCGAGCGCCAAAGGAGGGGTGGAAAAAAAAAGGCAGAAGCCGGGGGCTACACGAACGGGCATCAGGTCGGTCAGGGTGTGACGATGGGTGCGGGCCTTGGACTTCTGGAGGCCGCGAGCCTCCTCGCTGATGCGGCCGACCATGACATACTTCCCTGGGGTGGAGGGGGCCGTGACATAGCCAAAAGTGATGAGCTGCCGAAAATGCGAAGTCGACGTGGGGGCGCGTGAGACAGGGGGATCATCAGGGGGGGGGGGGGGGGGGGGCGGGGAAGGGGAGAGGAGGAGGGCGGGAAGCTCATGTGCACGCACTTCGGCCCCGAGCTGCTCAACAAAGGCATCGATCCCACGGCCAGTGCCGAGGGCAGAGATCTTGTTACGCTGGCCCTGGTAGCCGAGGACGAGCCTGGCAATGGCGGCCGGCCGTGGAGGGGGGGGGGGGGGCACAGAAAGCGCCGAAAGGGACCCGAGCAGGGAAGTGTGTCAGAACCGGGCCATGAGTGCCAGCAGGAGGAAGGGGCAGCAAAGTACGAACCAGTCCTGCTCGCCCTTGCGGACGGCATGGTATGCCTCCAGGATAGTGGGGCAGCTAGTATCGAGGGACATGGGTGCGGAGAAGGGGGCAAGATACGCCGCGCGGGAAGTCGCTCAGCGGAGGGAGGGGGTAGGGAGGGGGGGGGGGGGGGGAGAAGGGGAAGGAAGAAAATGTGCCCGAGGCCTGGGGTGCCTGTAGAGCTGCCCCGGGTGCTTTTGGCCTTCCTCGGGACACGCGATCGTGCGGGCCCCATACTGGGGACTGCTTGCTCAAGCGGGCAGCCCCCTCGGCAGGGGCGACAAAGAGGGAGAGGGCGGCACAGCGAGGGGTAGGGCCCGTGTGGAATACCCCTCTGCCCCAGCTGCCAGGGGCTTCCTCGCTGGGAGCGAATTGCTGCTCCCCTTGGGGGAAGAGGCTCCCAGGCAGCCGGCGCCTGGGCCACGAAATCGGAGCCGCGGCACCACCGGCCCCCAGGGGCGCACCCCCTACTGCCCCGGAAGCCAGCCCAGGGTCGCCCTCCAACCGAAGGGAGTTGGCACATTCCAGCCCTCGTCGGTCTTCCTGGTGGCCGGTGAGGAGAGGGGGGGGGGGGTACGGTGGGGGGGGGGGCCAGGGACGGTCTCTCGAGCGGGGGCGTTCCAATATGTCGCCAGCGGTGCCTGCAGCGGGGGTGCGATCGCCCGGCCGCAGCAGACGAGCCGGCCAGCATTCCGCCGTTTTCTGGATGTTGCTAGTCCAACGGCGCGAGGCTCGCAATCGCCCCTCCTCCTGGCGGCGAGGCTGGATAATAGACAACACACACACACACACACACACACACACGAATCTGTTGACAACTCAGTGACTCCGCCGGTGTGTGCCGACGGAGCCAGCCGCAGGGGAGATCACGTTTGGCCCCTCGCGGTCAGGCGCGGCCGCCCGATCGAAGGGGCGCCCCCCAGCCCCGCGACCAGGCAACTGTGCATGTCCGCCCTGCCCCCTCCCTCTGTGCCTCCCTTTTGTCCACCTCCTCTCGAGCCGCCAACATGTCTACTCTTGCCAAGCCTTCCCTCCTTAAGCGGTGCGCTTTGCGCCTCCAGCCTCTCTCTTCCATCCCCCTGTGCCGCAGCTGACACACACACACACACACACACACACACACACACACACACACACACACACACACACACACACACACACCACGCACCCAGCGTTGTCTCCATTCTGGAGCGCCACGCGCCGCTGGCCTTCGCCGGGTCCTGGGACAATGTCGGCCTCATCATCGAGGCCCCCCATGAGACCTTGGACTTCCTCCCCCCGCGCCCGGTCTCCGCCAACGCCACCCACGAGTGCATCCTCCTGACTAATGACCTGACGCTGCCGGTGGTCCGCGAGGCCGCCGCCCTCGGGGCCAGCGTCATCGTCGCCTACCACCCGGCTCTCTTCGGCAAGACTCGCCGGCTGACCACGCAGGATGACCGCCAGCGCATCGCCCTGACCTGTGCGGCTCTCGGCATCAGCGTCTACTGCCCGCACACCGCGTGGGACAGCTGCGAGGGTGGCAGTGCGTCGATCTCCCTCTCTATCCCATCGCACCTGTGCACCTTGCCTCCCACTGACCATCTGGCCCCTTTGGCCACTCTTCCTCCCCATCCAGTCAACGACTGGCTGGCCTCCATCGTCGGCCGCGCCTCGAGCCAGCCCACCTCCGTTCGCCCGATCAGCCAGTTCACCGGTGCCGCGGCGGCCGCCGCCCTGGAGGCCGGCCAGCCGAACGCCGGCGAGGGCCGCATTGTCACCTTCGCCGAGCCGGTTGCCCTGTCCTCCATCGCCGACGCCCTGAAGGCGGGCCTGAAGCTGGAGTACCGTAAGTCCCCTGTCCCTGCTTTTCCCCCGAGCCTGCTTTCCCTTGCCAGCCGCGTGCCCCCCCCCCCCCCCCATTTGCTGACCTCGTGCCGCCAACAGTGCGTTGTGTCCTTCCGGACCAGGCGACCCCGGTCGCGGCTGGCCAGCAGACCGTCAGCCAGCTGGCCATCTGTGCCGGCTCTGGCGCTTCGGTGCTGGCCGCGGCCGGCCCCGGTGTTGACGGCTGGCTCACCGGCGAGATGGGCCACCATGAGGCCCTCAGCGCCGCGGCTCGCGGTGTCAGTGTCCTCCTCTGTGAGCACTCCAACTCCGAGCGCGGCTATCTGACCGACGTGATGCAGCCGCTGCTGAAGGTGCGTCTCTCTCTCTATCTCTCTCCCTATTTGTCTCCCTCGTCCTTCTTCTGCTCACCTCCCCCTCCTCCTGCCGCTCTGAAACCGCCTGCGATAACAATGGCCCGTCCACTGACACACCTGTCTCCCCGACTGCTGGGTACCACCGGCTCGGTCGAAAATAGGAGAAGCTCCAGAGCGACCAGGTGTCGGTTGTGGTGAGCCAGGTCGACCGGGACCCGATCCAGCTCTTGTAAGGGGACACTGCCTGGCTCTCGCCTCTTGCCCCCGCTCCCTGCGCTTCGCCGGCTATGCGGGCCGCGACATGCGCCTCTCTCTCTGTCTCTATCTATCTCTCTCTCTCTCTCCAGACGCACACCCAATACATGAGGAGCTTCCCGACTCTGACGCCTCGGGGATCGCCCTTCGCGCACTGCCTGGCAAAATACGTACACATGCCAACCCACCCCGGGAGCAGGCGGACATCGGCTCGGTGCTCACTGGACCTGCGCGCCGCGGCACCTCCCGTGACTGGCGAGCGGTCGCCTCGTGCTGACACCGATTGACAAGCTCCCCCCACCCCCACCCCCTGGTGTGCCCGATCTTCCCCGTGTCGCCAGCCGGGTCTATCAAGAATTGGACGAGGGATTCCGCGGTGCGGGCAAATGTAATCTGGACGCCGGGCAGAAAGTGCCGCGATCTGGCTGGGGCCACAGGCCCGGGAAGAGGAGGCCCAGTGCAAATGAATCCCTTTGCGATGCACATGGTGGTGGCCCCCTCTCGACGATGGGATGTGCATTTCTTGGGATGCATTTAGGTGTAATTATGTATATTCGTGTCTGAGGGGAGATCGCGCCCAGAGAATGGCAGCGGCCTTCCCTTCCGTCTCTCACCATCGGGAAATCAAGGACAGGGAGGGGGGCGAGGAGGAGGAGGAGGAGTATGAGGTAAAAGGCAGGGAGGCCCGGGCATTCAAGGGAGGCAGGGGAGCCCAGGGAGATGAGGGCGGAAGGGCCGGCGTGTGTCTGTCTAGGTATGATATGATGGCGGGACACCGGACTGTCATTCTCCTGTTTGGAGGAGGGAGATGCTGGCTGTGAAAAATCTGCCTGGCATGCTGTGCATGCCGGGCGCGGGCCACCTGCCGTCAGCACGACGCTACCACACATACACGGCTCCCTGGGGGGAGGGGGAGGGGGCTCTCGGTGCTTCAGAGAGCGGCGCGAGTGCTGGCAGCGGTGACCACATCGTGGATGGCGTCGGCCACCTGGGCGATGTTGGTCTCGTTCAGGCCCGGCACACTGATGCGACCGTTCTTGGCCATGTAGACGTGGTGCTTGCTCATCATGACCTCACACTGGGCATCTGTATACCCACATGCGTGTACCATCACAGGAAGCGGTGGACCATGCCCAAGGGCGGGAGAAGGAGAGAGGCCGTCAGTAAGCCGGGACCAGGTGATCTGCTTTCGCCCATCCAATGGTGCCTGCAGATGAGGGGGGGGGGGGGGGGGGGGGGGGGGGAGCCAGGGGAGAAGGCGAAAAAAAGGAGGAAGGAAAAAGAAAAAA